GTCCCACCCCCCATGTCATTTGACACCAGTGTTGCTTCACCTCCAGAGGCTGTTTGCTGGCTACATGAAGTCACCTCCATGCCCAGAGGTGAGGTAAGTCCTGCTTGGGAAGGAAGATGAAGTCCTGGAAGGGAAATGCTGGTGGCTGCAGGTTTCTGTCCTGTTTTGTATGAGAGGAGGAGCCTGGAGACTAATCCCATAGCACCCACTGGGGCCCATGATTCCTGCCCTGGAATTTCTCCAGCTGCAGGATCAGTCTGTCAGCTCAGTGAAGATTTAAACTGAACAGATGTTTCTGCTTGTTCAAATTGAAATTTGGGAATATTCTGACTTTTCTTCCTCCAAGACAAAGTGAAAGCAAGCATATCTGAGTGGTGGTGTGTGTCTACTAAGATCATTTGTGTGAGTCTCAAGACTTGGGCTCCCCTTGTTCCACTTCTGTGGGTACTGGTGCTTGCAAGCCTTCAGAAACAGAAGCTAGAGCTTCTACCATAATGAGACCCTGAGATTTCATCCCCCACACCACCTGCCATGCATAAGCTGACCACAGAAGGGTCAAACTCCCAAGCCTTAAAAAGGACCCTCTACAAAGTACACTCAGGGATGAAGGTGGCACTTGTATCTGGGGAGCCTGGTGGATAGCTGGGGAAGGGAAAGGAAACTATGCCCTACCCTGCTGCTCCTGACAGACCTGGGAGGCCTGGTGGTGGTAGACACTGCCTGCTGGGATGCAGTGCATTTCCTCACACTTCTATATTTTGGGCAGTGGGGTGGACCCATTACTTCCCAGCCCTGACTGCAATTTGCGCTGCAGGGCCTACATGGCTTGGCGACATTCACTGTGGGAATTGGGGAAAAGGAGAAAGACACCAAACACACAGGATGGCTGTAATCCCACCAGTTGCCCAAGACAAGCTCTCCCAAAGGCATGGAGCTTCATTCCAATTCTAGATGTGCAGGCAGAGAACAAGCATGGTTCCATACTCACATTCTGTGTGTGTGTGCATGTGTCTGTCTGTCTGTCTCTGTGTCTCTGTCTCTCTCTTTGCCAGTCCTGAGGCTTAACTCAGGGCCTAGGCACTGTCCCCGAGCTTCTTTTGCTCAAGGCTAACATTCTACCTCTTGAGCCACAGTGCCACTTCCATCTCTTTCTGTTTATGTGGTACTGAGGAATTGAACTCAGGGTTTCATGTAAGCTATGCAAACACTCTACCACTAAGCCCCATTCCCTGCCCCATAATTACATTCTATGGGGAATTCAATGGGGAACCACCATCTCTAGCATGCCAGTGACCTCCCTGGGTTTTCTCTCTTCATTCACAAAGCCTGACAAGCAGACTTTTTTTTTTGTCAGGCATGGAGCTTGAACTCTGGGCCTGGGCGCTGTCCCTCAGCTCTTCAGCTCAAGGCTAGCGCTCTGCCACTTGAGCCACAGTGCCACTTCTGGTTTTCTGGTATTTAATTGGAGATAAGTGTCTCATGGATTTTCCTGCCCAGGCTGGCTTTGAACTATGATCTTCATATCTCAGCCTCCTGAGTATCTAGGATTACAGGCATGAGCCACTGGCTTGACAAGCAGCCTTGAGTGCACTATATTCATACAGGAAAACTATGACACCTGGATCAGATTTGTGTGTGTGTGTGTGTGTGTGTGTGTGTGTGTGTGTGTGTGTGTGTACTGGGACTTGAATTTAGGGCCAAGGTGCTAAGGGAAAGTGCCTAGACCCTGATATGTGTGTATGTATGTGTGTGTGAGAGAGAGAGAGTGTGTGTGTGTGTTTGTGTGTGTGTGTGTGTGTGTGTGTGTGTGTGTGTGTGTGAGAAACCACATTTGACTCAGAGAATCCATCCTAGATATACATGGAGAATTGAAAACACATGTCCACAGAAGAACTTGTACCCATAGTTCCTTGCATGATGGCCAATCCAAATGTCCATTAACTGATGAAACAAACAAAATGTGACATTCCTATATGAAAGATTATTTGTCTATGAGAGAACAGAGTACTGATATAGGATGCAATATATCAGTATTGCATCCTGATTTTTCTTAATAAAAGAAGCCAGACATATGAGGCTATATAATTCCATTTGCATAAATATCTAGAATAGGCATAACTGCAGACACAAAATAGAGTGGTGATCTCCAGGGGCTAGGACTGGGAGGACCAATCCTGTAATGAGATCTGACTACTAAGACTCTCTTTGTGGGTGGTGAAAAAGTTCTCAAGTTAATGGTGATGTTGGTTGCACAACTTTATGAATATATTAAAATTTACCAAATAGCACATTTTCAAATGGGAATTTTTATGGCCTGTAACTTGTACTTCAATGAGCGAGGAGGGGCAGTAGGAGTGGGAAGAGTTGAAAGGAGATGGTATTGGGGTCAAATGATCAAAGTACATGATACATATGTGTAAGAACAGCTTACTAAAACCCTCTAAAAAGTCAGGTGCTGATGGTTCACACCTGTAATTCTAGCTATTCAGGACACAGAGATCTGAGGATCTCAGTTCAAAGCCTGGGTAGGAAAGTCTGCAAGAGTCTTTATCTCTAATGAACCACCAAAGGGAAAAAAAAGTGGTACTGTGGCTCAAAGTGGTAAAGTACTACCCTTAAGTGAAAAAGCTCAGGGACAGCATCTAGGCTCTGAGAGAGTCCAAGTCCCACAACTGACAAAAACAAAACAAAACAAAATACTGATGACTGTTGAAAAAGGGAGAGGGGTCTGGGAATGTAGTTTAGTGGTAGAATGCTAGCCTTGAGCAAAAAAGAAGCTCAGGGACAGTGCTAAGGCCCTGAGTTCAAGCCCCAGGACTGTCCAAAAAAAAAGAAAAAAGAAAAAGAAAAAGGGAGAGGCAGCCGAGCATTGGTGGCTCATGCCTGTAATCCTAGCTACTCAGGAGGCTGATATCAGGATCTGAGCATCCTGGTCTGAAGCCAGGAAGCAAAGTCTGTGAAATTCTTATCTTCAATTAAGCAAAAAACGGAAAGTGGTGCTATGGCCCATCCCAGTGGAAGAGCATTACCTTGAGTGAAAAGGCTAAGGGACAGCACACAGTCATGCACAATGAGTTCAAATCCCAGTACCAACATTTATAAAACAACAATAACAATGACAAGAGGAAAGGTCGAGCAAACTCATCCTCCCAGGGAAAATGTGATTAGGCTCAATTAAGTGGAGGAGCTGATCTTGGGTTACTTGTGCCAGTGACCTCATCAGAATGCTCAAGGATTGCTCCCCATGGACGGAGTAATCTTCTTGTCTAGCTGGTCAAGCCACCGCTGTTGGTGTGTCAGGGGCTTGTTCATTTCTGAAATTGCTGGTGCTATGCATCCTTGCACCTGTCTTTTGTGGACTGGTGACCTCAGGCAAGTCATGGAGACTGTTTCCTCAGCTGAAATTGAGGTAATGATAGCAGCACCAACCTTCCTTAAAGGCATCAGGCAGGAGGAGATTTGTGAAGCACTGAGCTATGGGCACAAGGTGAGCCCTCCATGAGGGTATGTCGAAGTGACACATGACCTTGTGGGGTCAGAGTTCATTAGATGGCCTTCTCGATAGCATGTTGCCCATCCCTTGGGCTAGATCTCAAGATCCTTGGCACCACTTGGCAGTGTTGCCTTTTGAGACTCAGGGCCTAGGCAAGGAACAGTCCTGGAAGGCTGGATTTCAAATACATTTCTTCCCATGCCTGGGTTTCCATGACCATCTCACTGAGGCCCATCCTTGGCTTAAAGAGATCCACTGAGGCCTGTTCACAGAACTTCCTAAAGATCTCAGAAAGCTTTGACAAGTGTACATTGGGTTCCCTGTGGCACCTTCCAGACCTCAGGGATGAGTGATTTGGACAGAAGCCAGCAGAGCTGGGTACAACTATAATTCTAGCTTCTCAGGAGGCTGAAATCTTAGACTCTTGGCTCAATGCCAACCCAGGCAGACAAATCCATGAGACCCTTAATCCAAATACCCACCAAAGAGCCAGAAGTGAAGGCATGACTCAAATGAAGAAGAACAGCTGAGTGGAAAAAGCTAAGTGTGAGTTTGAGGCCTTGAGTTCAAGCCCCATTACTGGAAGGGGAAAAAATGGCAACAGATGCTTCTTGGTTCTCTGATGAGATGATCTGCAAAGGACCGGACTACAGGGCACACCTGATAGAACCGTTTAGGACCCAAAAGTGGATGATATCCTTCATTTATGACTGCTCTATAAGGGACCTGCTTGGCCCAGTCCAGGGCTGCTAGAGACTGGGGACTGGCTTCATGGAGGCTCTTGGGGACTTGTGATGGCTGATCCTGATGGCCCTAGTAGCTGCCCAGTCATGTGAACAGTGGATGGAGGGCCTAGGAAGGCATGAACCCTTTAGCCAAAGGTACTGATGGTGACCTCCAAATGAAATGGTTCAAACAGTAAGGAAGGATTAACCCCAATTCATCTCTGGGGTGGGGGGGGGGGGAAGGAATAAACAAGTCTAATATGGTGGTACCCTCCTGTAATCCCAACTAGTAAAGAGATTTAAGATTCTAGTGAGAGGTTAGGCCACAGTTGCCCCAAACCACATCCTGTGATGGCTGCACTGTGCCCCAGATCTGCTTCCCTTAGCTCTGCTCTAAGTTGCCCTGGGGAATCTAAGCCTCCCCCCACTCACACAAAAAAAACAAAACAGTAAGGAATATGGCCAGCAGACATGTGAGTAGGAAGTGAGAGAGACAGAGACCGTTGTGGGTGTGAGACAATCTGGAGCCGAGAGGCAGCCTGGGGCATCACGAGAACTCTTCCCTTGAGACCCTAGGTACCACAGCCAGCCTGTCTCTGGGCTTCATCCCTGAGGTCTAGGTCTTGCCATTTCATCCCAGGTTGGGCTTCTGTTCCTCCTTCTCCTGTTCATGTGACCCCCACAGTGAGTGAGCAGGATCTGTGAGAAGCACATTGGCCTATTCAACAGCCAACACATGTCTGAGGATGTGTGCTTCCGTCTAGAAGGGGTAGGACACCAGGCATAGACAGAGCATTTTTTATTGTGTGGGGCTCCAGGCAGGTCCAGAGCCAGGGTAATGAGCTGCAGGGAGGCCAGGCCAGCTTGGCTTAGGTTGGTTTAGCGACTTGGCCACAGGAGAGTGAAGGTACTACGGCTGCAGCAGAAATCTGGCTCAGACTGCTCTGGCCTGGGTTGCACAGAGACATGGTGCTGAGTGCCCCGATGGCTCAGTGGGATGCAGTCGGAGACACGGACCTCCAGAGCTCGGCCCTCTCTGGAGCAGGAAAAGTAGAGGGTTAGGGTGGCAAAGCTCTGCTTCCACACATCCCTTACCAGTCCCAGACTTACGCTTGCAAGTGTGAAGCCAGTATGCCCACCAGCTCCCCAATGCGATTGTCCAGTGGCGGCCGGGATCGGTGCAGGCACACCACAAGGTCGTCCTGGCCCCGCGCATGCAGCACCACCAGCTGGTCCTGTCCGCTGGTCACACTCAGCCCTGTCACCTGGGCAAAAAACTTGGCATCAGGGGCATGGAAGGTGCAGACTCTGCACCCCAGCCCTCCCCAGGAAGACATTCCTGGCTTCCATTTGGCTGCTCTGCCTTTGGCAGTAGATCTGCTCCAACATTCAGCCACCCTCTCCACTATCCCTGCCTTCCCAATCATCCCTGTGAACAATACAAATTTCCGCCATGTTGGAAAATTCTAGATCCTTATAACAGCCATTGCTTACCTATGGCTACCAAGCACTTCAATGTGCGGCACACATTGGCCTATACAACAATCAGCATATGTCTGAGGGACCCAACGCTCTCCAGATAGGGTAAGACATCAGGCATAGATACTTCAATGTGCTATTATGACTTTGGTTTTGGGTTTTGTTGTTGTTGTTGTTTTTGTGTGTGTGTGTGTGTGCTGTTTGCTGTTTAATTGGATCTGAGTCTTCTGGGTTGGCTTTGAATTGTGATCCTCAGATCTTAGCCTACTGAGTGTTAGCATGATCTCCTCTATCTCAGGAAGCACCCCACTCCCACCCCCATTTTAGGCCTTGCACTAAAGCATGGTGCTTAGCTGACACAGGAGTGTCAGAGCCTTTCAAAACAGGTTGTTACTTCAACCAGTAACAACAACCCTCCCCCCTTGAAGCAGTACCTTATTTGTGTAGCTACAACCATCAATGGTAACAGCAGTCCCCCTGAAGTAATTTCCTGCCCGTGTGGCTGCAATCATTAATCTTGGCCCTGCCACAACGGAGCCCCCCACTCACGTCCCTCACGGCTCACGTGAACCTGACCCCAGATAACCATGGTTGGAGTCCCCTCTAACTACTGCTCTCTGACTGTGAGACAGACTGTCAGGCTCCTGACATTAAACTAAACATGTGTCCAAGTGATTTTGGGGGGGAAGCCTTTCACTGAGAAGCTAGTATTTTAGGCTTGGGCCACCAGTGCCCAGCTAAGTTTTTAGTTTTGTTTTTGTTTTTGTCAGTCATAGGGCTTGAGCTCAGGGCATGGGCACTGTCGCTGAGCATTTTGCTCAAGGCTAGTACTCTGCCACTTTGAGCCACAGCTCCACTTCTGGTTTTCTCATGGTTAATTGGAGACAAGAGTCTCATGGACTTTTCTGCCTGGTCTGGCTTTGAACCACAATCTTCAGATCTCAGCCTCCTGAGTAGCTAGTAGGTGTGAGCCACCAGTGCCCGGCTTGAGTTTTCAGTTTTATTTTACTTTGATAACAGCTATTTTGCCCCCCTGGCACATGGCTACTACACGATGATGCAGGATGAGGTTAAAAGCCCTTCTACTCTGACAGGTGTGAGAACTCCCCAGATCAGGAGAGACCCAGAGGTAATCCAGTCTTAATCATTGCCCCAGGCTATGCATTGTTCTGTGGGAAGGAGAATTTGCAGAATGGATAGCTTCCAGGCAAGAGACAAGTAGCCCCAGAGCCAGGCAAAGGTGGGTCTCCTGGGAGGTGAGGTAGCTGAACACTGAGAAGGGGGCTCAAATGTATTCAATCATGCCCAGGTGGGACATTGCCTCTGCTAAATAGGCACAAGTGGAGAGAGAGGCCATTTGACATGTGGAGGAACAAGGTAACCTGTGGAGCTGGTGGGTCCAGAACCTCTTTCAATCCCCAGCAATGGAAGCCACTGCAGGGTTTTCAGTAGGGTGCCCCATCATTGTGTGTGTGTGTGTGTGTGTGTGTGTGTGTGTGTGTGTGTCCATCCTGGGGCTTGATCACAGGGCCTAGGCGCTGTCCCTGAGCTTTTTTGCTCAAGGCTAATACTCTACCACTTGAACCACAGTTACAGTTACACTTAAGAGTTATTTGCTGCTTAATTGGGGATAAGAGTCTCACAAACTTTTCTGCCTGGGCTGGCTTTGAACCTTGATCCTCATATCTCAGCCTCCTGAGTAGCTAGGATGATAGGCGTGAGCCACCCAGCTAGGCAGGTGGGTTTTAAGGTGATCTGGGATAGCATAGATGAACAGGGAAAAGGAGACTGAGGTAGATCTCCCCTCCAGGGGTCCACTGTACCCCTCATGAATGCTCTGCACACAGTCTGGCCCACAGTACTCACCATGTCCAGGGTCACGGCCCGCATCACCCGGTACTGCTTGCTAGGCTCCAGTTTATAGAGGTGCCGATCTGTGAGCAGGAGGGCCCGGTCCCGGCTCTTGTGGAAGCGGTTCACCTACAGATGTGAGGCTGGATATGTCCCCCTCCTGGCCCCAGAAGTCCCTACTTCTTCCCTTCCCTGGGTCCTCCTCATTAATTGGCCCAGGAGGATGGTTCCTAGCATCTCAGGCTTGAGCCTAGCAGGCCTAGGTTGGAGCCATTTCAGGTCTCTCCTAAGCTTCTCCAACCCATCCCCTCCATGAACCCTTGGACCCAGTACTAACTTTGCGGACGTGGCTAGAAAACAGCACACTCCCAAAGCCATCCTTCTCCCGAAGTGCCTTGAGTCGCTCAGCAAACAGGCCTGAGGCTGTGGGGTTGTCAGTGCTCTGAGGAGAGAGGAAGGGATGGTGTGTGTGCTTAGGATGAGGCCTGGGATTACAGGCAACTGAGGGCAAATCCCTGGGAATCACCACAGTTGTCCTTCACTTTGGGGAAACAGAATCACAGACATGTACATGTGCCAAGTAGCACTGGATTTCATGAAGGAAGCATGCACAGAGCCCTCCTGCTTAGACATCCAGGTCTACGCTCTGCCCTCCTCATCCCAGCACCCACCCAGCTGGCCATGACTGTTCAAATCCAGACTGCACTGTGTAGGTAGCTCTGGACAGACTCCCCCACCTCCCCCAGAAGGCAGGAAGGAGCCAGGAACCTGGCCTCTCCACAAAGAATCTGCCCCTGGATGAGTCTAAAGCCCTTAGACTTTCTGCCCTCTGAAGACCAGGCCCAGGGACAGCAAACTCACAGCAGCCAGGAGAGAACTAAGGAAGCCATGACAGTGGTGGTACAATTATGCACATGTGCACCTGACCGTATTGACAATAATGAAGGGGAGGCTGAAACTAAGCACATGGAATTCTGAAAGGTCAGGAGCTGCTCGGCAGAACCCAGGCTGGAGGTGGGGGTGCTGAAAACCCTTAACATACCAGGTACCAGTGGCTCATGCCTGTAGTTCTACCTACTCAGGAGGCTAGCATCTGAGGATCATGCTTCAAAGTCAGCATGGGCGGGAAAATCTGTGCGACTCTTTTTTTTTTTTTTTTGTGCGACTCTTATCTCCAATTAACCACCAAAAATCTGGAAGTGGAGTTGTGTGTTAAGGAGTAGAGTGGATAGGTGCTAGCCATGAGGAATAAGCTAAGAGACAGCAACCAGGCTCTAAGTTTAAGCCTGAAAATGAAAAAAAAGAAAAGGGGGGGAGAAAGAAAGAGAAAGAGAGAGAGAGAACGAGGAAGGGAGGGAGGGAGGGATAGAGAGAAAGAAATGAAGGAAGAAAGAAAGAAGGAAAAAAGGAATAAAGGGAAAAGAAAGGAAGGCAGGAAGAATGAACCAGAAAGAAAGAAAGAAAGAAGGAAAGAAAGAAAGAAGGAAAAAACAAAGAAGGAAAGAAAAGCACTGGTGGCTCACACCTGTAACCCAAACTACTCAGGAGGCTGAGACATGAGGATCATGGTTCAAAGCCAGCCTGAGCAGAAAAGTCTGTGAGACTCTAATCTCCAATTAACCATCAGAAAACTGGAAGTGGAGCTGTGGCTCATAGTGATAGAGCACTAGGCTTTGAGCAAAAGAGCCCAAGGACAGCACCCTGCCCTGAGTTCAAGCCCCATAACGAACAAAAAAGAAAAAGAAAAAGGAAAAGAAAGAAGGAAAGAAGGAAGAAGGCTGGAAAGGTGGCTCAGTGGTAGAGTGCTTGCCTTGCATGCCTGAGGCTCTGAGTTCAATTCCTCAGCATCACGTAAGCAGAAAAAGCTGGAAGTGGCTCTGTGGCTCAAGTGGAAGAGCGCTAGCCTTGAGCTGAAGAGCTGAGGGACAGTGCCCAGGCCCAGAGTTCAGGCCCCACGACCGACAAAAGAGAAAAGAAGAGAGAGAGAGAGGGAGAGAGAGAGAGAGAGAGAGAGAGAGAGAGAGAGAGAGAGAGAGAGAGAGAGAGAGAGAGAGAGAGGCGCCTTAAGCCTCAAGACACAGGGATGAAATCTAGAGAGAAGGGCAGGTGCCAAAGCCTCAGACACAGGCCAGACACCACCATTTTGGATATAGAAACAGCGTCTCCACCACCCAGGACAGCCCAGCACTCACAGAGGACAGGTAGTCTCGAACCCAGGCCCTCTGGCAGCCCCAGTCCTGACGCAGCCCCTGCAGGGCCCCCATAGCAGCCACCTTGGCCTTGATCTGGGCCATGTCAGAAGGGGGGATGTTCTTCACCAGCTGCCAGGCCCTCCACCTGGAATTGTGCAGCCATCAGAGGATGCTTACTTGTGCGTTCATGCTTTCCCCACCCCTCCCCCAGGAAAGCTCATCCTCAGCCTGAGCTCCCTAAGACCTACCTACTGCCATCCTTTGATCTCTCCTGCCATTCCCATTGCTTGTCCCTAGACCATGACCACTTAGCACCCCTCTGCTCTGGCACACATGCTCTAGGTCTCATCTTGGAGAATTACACAGCCTTCAAGGCTCTGTCTTCCACTTCCAGGTGTTTTTTTGGTTGCTTTTTTTTTTTTTTTTTTTGCCAGTCCTGGGGCTTGAACTCAGGGCCTAGGCACTGTCCCTGAGCTGCTTTTGCTCAAGGCTAGTACTCTACCACTTGAGCCACAGTGCCACTTCTGGCTTTTTCTGTTTATGTGGTATTGAGGAACTGAACCCAAGGCTTCATGCATATAAGGCAAACACCCTACTACTAAGCCACATTCCCAGTCCCACTCCCAGTCTTAACTAGTCATTCTCCCCGCTGTAGATCATGGCCATGGCCCTCAAATGTCTACCACAATGGTGCTGGGACAGTCACTCTACTGCCAACCATGGGCTGTGACAATCAGTTAATATGACTCAGCTTCCTGTTCCTGCTCTCAGTGAGGCCCTGTGTGCCTGGGCTGATAGGCTCTAATGTTGAGAGGCTGCTGGCTGAATGGAACATAGCACGTGGGATAAGTACCTGCAGAAGAGTGCATGGCAGATGTCCTGGAAGGGCTGCAGCACAGCAGGGGGTGGTGGCCACTCAAGGTCACGGCCATAGAGCGGGGGCTGCCGTGCAGCCTGGAATCGCCGCTGCAGCTCAGCCAGGTGAGCATGCACCTTGTGCCTCCGGAACCAGCGCATGATGGTGTAGACTGCTCGAAGCCGCCGACAGCGCCACCTGGCCAGGGTGCCCCGCCATGCCTGGTGGGTTAGGACATGACTTAAGGTCCAGCCCAGGCCTGGTATCCTAACCCAATTATGCCTTATGTCTTTCCTGAGTATTCCAGCTTGCCTGCAGGGAGGCTGACCCATCCCCCAGGAGTCATGTCCAGCCAGAGGTGGTGTCCAGGTTGTATCTGTGGCTGGCTAGGCAAGGCAAGCCCTTCTCAAAGCTTTGCAGACCCTCAGAAAAGTGCCTGTCACCTATGCCTGGCTTTTAAAGCTGGTACTACAAGGCCTCCAGGTCCCTCCAGCGTGCATGAGAGGAGAGATGGGAGCAGATGAAGACTTTCTTACCTCTAAGGTCGCCTGACCAGTCCTGGGAATATTCTAGAATGAGTTCATCAAACCTGGACTGGCTGGGTGCTCCCAGTGCCTAGCTATTAGGAAGCTGAGAGTGTGAGGCCCTGAGTGTTGAAGCTCCAGTTCCAGCACCAGAGAGAGGGGGGGAGAAATGAAAGAAAGAAAGAAAGAGAGAGAGAGAGAGAGGGAGGGAGGGAGGGAGGGAGGAAAGGAAGGGAGGGAAGGCAGGCAGGCAGGAGGCAGAAGGATGGAAAGAAGGAAGGAAGGAAAGAAGGAAGGAAGGGAAAAAAAGAAAGTAAACACACACACACACACACACACACACACACACAAACCCAGAACCTAGACTAGATAGCTTACAAGGCCTCAGGAGGCTAAGATCTGAGGATTGCAGTTCAAAGCCAGCCTGGGCAGGAAAGTCGGTGAGATTCTTTTTTTCATTTTTTGGTCGGTTATGGGGCTTGAACTCTGTCTGGGCTTGGGTGCTGTTCTGTGTTCTTCAACTCAAGGCAAGGGCTCTACTGCTTGAGCCACAGCGCCACTTCCAGTTTCCGAGTGGTTTTATTGGAGATAAGAGTCTCATGGACTTTCCTGCCTGGGCTGGCTTTAAACTGTGATCCTCAGCTCTCAGGCTCCTGAGTAGCGAAGATTATAGGCGTGAGCCACCAGCACCCTGCTTGGTGAGATTCTTATCTCCAATTAACCACCAAGAAACTGGAAGTGGCACTGTGGCTCAAGTGATAGAATGCTTACCTTGAGCTGAAGAGCTCCAGGGGCAGTGCCCAGGCCCATAGTTCAAGTTCCACAACTGACAAAAAGGAGAGACTTATATGCTGGGTGCTGGTAGCTCAAGCTTGTAATTCTAGCCACTCAGGAGACTGAGATGTGAGGATCATGATTTAAAGCCAGCTTGGGCAGGCCAGTCCTTAAGACTCTTATCTCCAATTAACCACCAAAAAACCTGAAAGTGGGCTGGGCACCAGTAGCTCACACCTACAATCCTAGCTACTTAGTAGCTTGAGATCTGTGGATCATGGTTTAAAGCCAGCCTGGAGAAAAATGTCCTCATGAGACTCTTACCTCCAAATAACCACTCAAAAACCAGAAGTGGAGTGGTGGCTCAAAGTGGTAGCGTGCTAGCCTTCTTGAGCAAAAAGAGCTCAGTGACAGAACTCAGGCCTGAGATCAAGCCCCACGATGACTACTACCATCAAAAAAAAGCTAAAAGTGGAGCTGTGGCTCAAGCGGTAGAATGCCAGCCTTGAGTGAAAATCTAAGGTACAACAAGCAGGCCCTGAATTCAAGTCCCAGTACTGGGGGGGGGGGGAGAGAGAGAGAGAGAATTATATAATCAGTATACATCTTAGAGCAGTGTAAGGATCTTGACCTTGAATCCCCAGGAACACTATGAGGACCTGCCTGGGGAAGGAGCCATAGCCCCCCCCGCCCCCCAGTCCCATATCCTCACACCTTCTGCAGTAGCAGCACGATGATGGGGATGAGGCGGGCTCGGCTCTGCTCCAGGGCAACCAGTGTCCGGGGTGAGCGGATGAACAACTTGCTATGTCCAAAGGCCACATCACCCTGCAGCCCATGCTGCTCCAGAAGGGCGCTCACAGCTGCCCTGTCAGAACCCAGCAGGTGGTTGGGCCATGTGTACTCACAGGTCATCTTGTACCTGTCACCAAAGACAGGACAGTGATCGACTGTCCTGAGAGGACAGGTGGGACCACAGGGGTGCTAGAAGGCCGGGGAAGAAGTACTCTGAGTAGTATGCTGAGGCACCCGTGACACACACTCGTGTGCCCTTATCATGCATGTCCTCACACCTGCCACTCCTGGCTGTACATATCCACATGCACATCACCCATATGTGTTCATATGCATGTCCTCACAGACATTTTGGGGTTGAGATCAGCAGCATGGCAACTCCAGTGTGAGCTGCCAAGTGTGAAGCACTATGGAGGGACCCTCTGCTTCTACCCCTTGGACCCCACATGGGGTTCATGATCCACAGAGTGACAGGCCCACTGCCTATACCTGAGCAGGAATCGAGGATAGGGCTGGCGGAAAGCGAAGCCAGCCCTACGGACCCTCACATTCTCCAGCAGCCCCAGGTAGGAGACCTGGTGGCGACAGTGGTCCTCATCCAGCCGCCCAGCCACCTTGTCCTCATTAGGCTTGATGCAGCGGACATAGAAGGGCTCCTGCAGGGGGAGAGGTTGCATGGTAGCCTAACACAATGGCAACTGTATATACTGCTCTGGAGAGGGCTTTCCCACCCCCATGAGCATCTATACTGTGAGAGCTGGGCCAAAGGAAATTATGGCAGATAAAGACTCTGGAGGCTCAATTCAGGTTCCAGTCCAGGAGAGCGGGGGCAGGCCTCCCCTTCTGTCCCACACCCCACACCCCTGCTTATGCTGGCACTGAGGTTTGAACTCAGGACCTGGGACTGAGGTTTTTCATTCAAGGCTAGCACTCTACCACTTGAGCTATAGCTCCACTTCTGGCTTTTTGTTGATTAAATGGAGATAAGAGTCTTATGGACTTTCTTGTCTAGGCTGGATTCAAACCATGATCCTCAGATCTCAGCCTCCTGAGGAATTAGAATTATAGATATAAGCTGCCAGTACCCAGGGACACCTTTCTTTTTCTCTTTCTCTCTCTTCTGAGAGAAACTGCCAACTCTGTTGTTAAACCCACCCTGCTAGCCAGGCACCCGTGGCTCACGTTGTAATTCTAGCTACTCAGGAGACTGAGATCTAAGGATTATGGGTTCAAAGCCAGCCCGCGCAGGCAAGTCCATGAGACTCTAATCTCCAATAAACCACTCAGAAAACCGGAAGTGGCACTGTGGCTCAAGTGGTAGAGCACTTGTCTTGAGCTGAAGAGCTGAGGGACAGCGCCCAGACCCAGAGTTCAAGCCCCAAGACCGACAAAAGACAAACAACAACAACAAAAAACAACAACACCCTGATGTGTGACCTCAAATTCCCCTTTGACTTTGGGCATGAAGCTCTCCCAGAAAGCTACTGCCAGTTTCCTGGCTCCATCTGCCCTGCTCTCAGCTGGAGCTGAACCAGGCCAATTTAAGCACCCAGCAGTTTCTCCAGTCCTTTCTCACCTGAGACGTAGGGAGCCAGGGAAGGCTGGGTTGAATCCTGTGCTCCTTGACTGATCAAGCCTGGCCACTGATCCCCCACAAAAAAAAAAACCTCTGCAGTAGATGGCGTCCCCACTGAGGCAGACGGAGTCAGGCATACAGGACAAGTATGTCTTACTATGAGCCCTACATGGGGCACAAAGAGTAGGTTCTGGAATGTCAGGGGAGTGAGACATACCTTAGAAGCCAAGTTTTCCACCAGGGCCACCATGGAGTTTTTGAAGAGTGTGCCGGCTGTCAGGGGGCGCTTGGTCACCTCTGTGATATCCTGCTGTCCATCTGGCCACATGGCCCGCAAAGTGGAATCCATGCTGCAAACACAGGCTGCATACCCAGCTGCCCTTGTGGTGTAGCCTGCCTACCCCAGTGGGGCCCCAGGAGCTATGTAGCTTTAGCCTTGTGTCTTGGGCTGTCTACCAGGCAAATAGGGCTAGATTCCCAGAAGGCCTTGAGCCCTGGCCCTCTGGCACCCACACCCATCCAGCCAGGCCCACCTGTTGTAGAATAGCCGCTTGAAGTCCTGAAAAAGAAAGTCTCTGTTCTTGTCAATGAAGCCCTCCACGGAGTACCTGCCCAAGGCCGGGGCCAGAGAAGGGATCAGTGACCTGGTCTTAAACACTGATTGTCTCTAGGAAGGTCCCCACTTTCTCCCACCTGACTCTGGTTTCATAGATCAATCTCTTCCTCCCTCCTGCCCTTGGTGCTTTAGTTCCTTCACCCTCACTTATGCATTCTCTGTCATCACCTGACTTCCTCCGACAGAAGTTTCTCTCCTAAAGTCAATCAGACTCTATTGGAGTGCATGTACAAATGGCTGGGGGAATGGCCAGCAGAGAGGGTGAATGATGGTAAATGTGACCAAAATAATAAAAATAGAATAATAAAACGTACTGAACTTGTTTTAGGAAGAGGAAAAGAAGAATGAAGAACAGAAATGGAAGGAGTGAATTCATTGGGGTATTCTGTGTACATGAAATGCCACAATAAAACTCCCATTGTACATTAATATATACTAATAAAAAGAATCTGTTTAAAAATGCAGAATCTGGGGCTGGGAAGGTAGCTCAGTGGTAGAGCGCTTGCCTTGCATGCATGAGGCCCTGGGTTCGATTCCTCAGCACCACATAAGCAAAAAGAAAAAAGCCGGAAGTGGCGCTGTGGCTCAAGAGGTAGAGCGCTAGCCTTGAGCTGAAGAGCTGAGGGACAGCGCCCAGGCCCAGAGTTCAGGCCCCACGACTGGACCCAAAAAAACAAAACAAAACAAAACAAAAACAATAAAAATGCAGAATCTAGCTAGGTGCTAGTGGCTCACACCTGCAATCCTAGCTACTCAGGAGGTTGAGATCTGAGGATTGTAGTTTGAAGCCAGTCCAGGCAGGAAAGACTCTTTTCTACAATAAACTACTCAGAAAAAGACAGAAATGGAGCTGAGGCTCAAGTGGTAGAACACTATTCTTGGGCACAAAGGGGATCAGGAACAGCTGTCCTAGCCAAAAAAAAAAAAGCAGACTCTAGATGCTGGTGGCTCACGCCTGTAATCCTAGCTCCTTATAAGACTAAGATCTGAGGACCACAGTTCAAAAGCAGCTTGGGCCAACAAATCTGAGAGACTGTTATCTCCAATGTATAGGTCAAAAGCCAGAACTGGAAGCATGGCTCAAGTTGTAGAGTGCCATCCTTAAGCAAATATGTGAGGCCGGGGCTGGGAAGGTGGCTCAGTGGTAGAGCGCTTGCCTTGCATGCCTGAGGCCCTGGGTTCGATTCCTCAGCACCACATAAGCAAAAAGAAAAAAAGCCGGAAGTGGCTCTGTGGCTCAAGTGGTAGAGTGCTAGCCTTGAGCTGAAGAGCTGAGGGACAGTGCCCAGGCCCAGAGTTCAGGCCCCATGACCAGACCCAAAACAAAAAACAAAAAAAACAAATATGTGAGGCCCTGAATTCAAGCCCCAGTAACTGGTGTGCACACGTGTACACATACCCAAACATAAAACACATGCCTGGCCAAGCCAGCCTGGGTAGAAAAGCTTCATGAGATTTTTATCTCCAATTAACCACCCCTAAACCAGAAGTGGTACTGTGACTCAAAGTGGTAGAATGCTAGTCTTGAGCACAAAAGCTCAAGAACAGCGCCCAAGCTCTGAATTAAAGCCTCATGACCAACAAAACAAAAACAAAAACAAACAAAGCTACAAGTGGAGATGTGGCACAAGTAGTAGAGAATCAGCCTTGAGCAAAAAAGCTAAGGGACCGCACTCTTGTACTGCAGGCCCAGAGTTCAAGCCATAATACTAGAATAAAATTAAAAGAGCCTCTGATCCTGCCCTCTAGTGAAGGATGGAGAACCTGGCCATTTCCCCAGAACACTCCTGCTTTGAGCCACATGCAAGAGAGATAAATAGTCGGAGAGGCACTTACGTGACATCCCCTGCATAGTGCTTGATCCGGAAGTCTCGTCCAAACTCCATGGTCTTGTCAGTGGGACATAGCTAGGGCACAAGCTGAGGTCAAGGCATAGAAGACAGAGGCAGGTCTGGGGTCTGCATGAGGGGACAATCCCACAACCCTCCTGCCTGGGTAGAGCGATTGCCACAATGGCATCACTGGGTTATGCCCAGGCCTCAAGAGGCACACACAGCTTGAAGACACCTCTGAGTATGTCCCACCAGCCTGGGTCCTGACACAGGGTCAGCTGGAGCACCTGGCGGCTGCAGTAGTGAGGGTGGTAGCGGTGGTGTGTGTCCAGGGTCTGCAGGAAGATATGGTCGGTGATGGGCCCTGCGGTGCTACAGGCCTCGTCTAGCACGGCCAGGATGCCCCGGTGGGGCCGCTCCACCAGCTCCACTATGGCAGCGTTGTTGAAGTATTCCACCTGGAACAGAGGCAGGCAGTCAAATGTTTCCCAAAGCTCTCTCACTAGCTAGCCACTTCCCCTTTATTTGCTTGCATTAGGCCCAGGAGGCTGCTGGTCATCTTCCTCCACCCAGCCCTCGCCCCAGCCCAGCATCGGTGCTCACACTCTGCCAGCTGATGCCCTCGCGCTCATACTCCTCCTGTTCCTGCTTCAGGATGAGCTGGATGAACAGCTGCTGGAGTTTCTCATTGCAATAGTTGATACAGAACTGCTCGAAGCTATGAGACAAGGCTTTATTCCCAAGGATAGGTGGGATGGATGGCCAGCCCTCCCCCCAACATCTCCTGGGCTGTGCTGGACCAACTGGCTTCATTCTGCCCCTACCTATGCCCCATGCCCATTCTGGAATAGACTTGGGAATTAAACAGCCAAAGTGAAGCTCCAAAGCCTGCCTTTCCTAAAGACACTCTTGCCTCAGGGCACAGCCAAGCCACATTTAGAAGGCATGAGTCTTTGGGCCCAGGGACCAGCAGGAGAATCTAGACAGTCCTGCCTCTCGGCCACAGCTCTCTGGATTGCAGTGGTTGGGGAACTAGAAGGGGGTGCCATTGACTGGGCTGCCTACCTGTTGACAGGAAACACCTCAAAGCCGTAGATGTCTAGTACCCCAATGACAGTGTCCTTGCCGTCACGTCGAGGGTCTCGACCACGAGCTTCCATGATGCCATTGATCCTGTTCACCACCCATTCAAATAGCCGCTGGTACACCGCCTGGTATGGAGCACACTATTTCTTACTGCCACCGATCTGGCCTCTGAGATTCCCTGCCAACCACCTCAGTGGCGAGGGAGGGGGAGGGAAGAGGAGGGGGGAACGGGGGGGGGGAGGGCAGGGGGGGTGTTGTTACCTTGGCACAGGCGTCTCTGGCGTAGCTGGCCTCAGCCACAGTATGGCCCTTCTCTATGAGCTCCCGGCCTCCAGAAGCCACTGTCCGAGCCAGCAGGGAACGGAGCACGAGGTCTTGGGGTGTGGCTGTCAGCTTGGCCACGTGGCCCACCAGAGCCTCCTCGGTCACTGCTAAGCCTCCCTTTTGCAGCCCATCTTCTGCTGTTTCCACAAACTCGATGTTTCCCTGTCAATGAAAGGATCATGAACAGTCCAGGCACCAAGGAGCCCAGACACTTTTGAGTGGGGAGAAGGATGGGAGTCATGGAATGTGGATGTGGGGGACCCAGGTCCTACTTAGATATTATGACCAGCTGGGCACTGCAGGCCATAGACACAGCAGAGCATTCTAGATTCATAAGTAAGGTCTCTCACTCTGAGATTTGCTCCCTGCGTCTCTCACAGAGAAGAGAGGATGAGCCCATCAACAATAGCCCTAAGAGGCAGCATGCTCAATGCTTGCTTCTTGCTATGTTGTCACTCATGGTGCAGTAGGAACGTGGTTTCTACCCAGACACCCACTGATCTTATCACTAGCCCTCAGCCGGACCCCATAGGAGTGTTTTCAGCTCTCAGCAGAAAAGGGGTCAGCTCAACAACTTCACTGGGATATCTCAGGAGTGCCTTCTTTGCCTCTCATGGCTCCTGGAGGGACACTCCTGTGGTCCTCTTAGCCAAGCTCACCAGGTGCAATATGGCAGCCAGGATGCGATGGATGGATTCCACCTCCTCAGGACTAAAACCAATGACTCTCATGGCCTCAGTCACTGCCCGATGGCTCTTCTCATCACTGTCCAGACCCTGGAGTAAGAGTTTAACCGCTCAGGCCAATGTGGGGTCCAGGGCATCTGCCTTCTCTGGACCTCTGAGTCTTCCATCCCAGGCACCTAGGAGCCTACAACTTATCTCCTCCCTGAGCTGTTTGTCCTCTGCCCTCCACATTAACCTGAGCTGTTGACAACCCCCCTGGTTTAAATCCATCACCACCTATTTCTTGCCCCCCCATTCCTAGGACCCAGGGCCCAACCTTGTTTAAACCCTCGCCCTTACATTGTGAGCACCCATGCTGAGACCAGCTCCCTGGCGTGTAAAATTATACAGAGCAGGGTTTCTTTCCAGGTGGAGTGCTTGCAGCTCCTGGTCTTCACTGCCCCTGAGCAACTGCAGACACAAAGATCCCTTAGTTAAGTCACTCATCTCCAAGGACTCTTTTCCCATCCTACCCTTCCCAGAGGCACAGATTATACAAGGACACATCCTACCTCCCAATCTGGAACCAAGAGATGGCAGAGGAAGTTAGTACAGTGGGGAAGAAGGTATAGCTCAGAGCCCATAGAGACACTGCCCACAGCCCCAGGGTATTCTCACATCTGAGAGTCTCAGATGTTGGGGATACCCTGCTTAGAAGCTCCCATCATGAGGGCTGGGAAGGTGGCTCAGTGGTAGAGTGCCTCGCATGCATGAGGCCCTGGGTTCAATTCCTCAGCACCACAAGCAGAAAAAGCCAGAAATGGCGCTGTGACTCTAGTGGTAGAGTGCTAGCCTTGAGCTGAAGAGCTGAGGGACAGCGCCCAGGCCCAGAGTTCAGGCTCTACAACCGGCAAAAAAAAAAAAAAGAAGAAGCTCCCATCTGGGTGAGGACGGGGCGGGCATCTGGGTGTGGTGAGGAGTGAGGGTAATGGCTGGGGTAGGTAGAACAGAGCATAGTAGCAAGGTTATAGAAGGTGGGCCCAGTTTGCTGACCTCCTCATTCCCCTCTCTTCTTTGCTCCCCTCCCTCCAGCCCCGCCCCAGCCACAGAGGCTCACCTGGTAAAAAGCATGGAAATTCCTTTCTCCAACATGCTGTTTGAGGACTCTAGACTGAGGGAGAGGAGCAGCTGGATTTCAGCCTGGGAATGGTCAGCCCCCCCACCCCACCTCCCCACCCCCTGACACCATTTGAGTGTTCTCAGCTCTCAGATACAGGAAAGGGTGGAGATTAGAGTATCTAGCCTGGGAGGATACCAAGAGAAGGACCACAGAGACAGCGCAGCTTTTCCAACTTCATATCACACTCAGACCCTAAGGCCTGAGACCTTGGAAGGAAAGGGTGTGTCGGCCCACTGGCCCACCTTCTCCAGGAGGTAGCTGTGGATGTGTCCTCCCACAGGATCTCCCTTAAAGTTGAAGTTGATGTCCATGTACTTGCCGAAACGGCTAGAGTTGTGGTTGCGATTGGTGCGGGCATTTCCAAAAGCCTCCAGTATACAGGTGGACTTCAGCAGCACATCCTTGACCCTGTGGACAGAGGGGCTAGGACTGAAGATAAAGATGCCTAGCTGTAGAACAGTGACCTGCCTGAGTCTCCCCCACGTTAACCACAGCATCTCAGGAAACTGACTGGGAGGGAGTAGAGATCCCCAGGTCCCACCTTGCCCAGTGTCTCTGGGCATGCACCTGACTGACTTGCTGCTGTTGTACATGGTCTGTGTAGCTCTAAGTCCAGACCAGTCATCCAGAAAATGTTATTCTTCCCTTCTTCATTTTTTTTTGGCAGTTGTGGGCCTTGAACTCAGGGCCTGGATGCTGTCCCCAAGCTATGTTGCTCAAGGCTAGTGATCTACCACTTGAGTCATAGCTCCACTTCCAGCTTTTTGGTGGTTAAAGATAAGGGTCTCATGGACTTTCCTGCTAGGGCTGGCTTCAATCCTCAGATCTCAGCCACCTGAGTAGCTAGGATTAAAAGGCGTGAGCCACTGGTGCCAAGCCTATTCTTTGCTTTTTTGTGCTCTCTCCCCTCAGCTGCAGCCTAGGGGAGGTGAAGACAAAGTGATCTGACTACTATTCAGTGCACTTCAGGCTATAGTGTAGATGGCAATGCTGGCCACGTGTGCCTAGGAACTGACCTCATTAGCACCCACCACCCCACCCAGGAAGAGTCAGGCCCAGACACAGAAAGCCCCTTCTGCAAGGCCTGGAGGAGAGGTAGAGGTGTGGGTAGGCCAGCCCTTCTTAGGTCTGAGCCAGCTGTAACCCACATGCCTGCCAGCATGTTCTACTATTCTAGTCAGGCTACCAAATTCCTACAGTCTTTCTTGGACTCCCAGGGATGACTCTGCCCTGTCAGCCATTTCCAGTTTCTATAACCCCACCCATTGGTGACAATCTTTCCACAGCTGACAGCTTTCGTTTCCCTCATTTGAGAGATCCTAGGCATGCCCAACTGTCTCTTACCTCTCTGCAACCTTGACTGAACTTGGGCCTAATCTGGGCTCTGGCTCACATCTCTTGCTTCTTAGTGCCAGGCCTTTCCCCTAGCACAGAAGTCTTGACTCTGCTAGGGCCCAGAGATGCTTACCTTTCCACTTCAGCCCTCTGACTTGGGTTGGTGACTGCAGCAATGTACTGCATGATGTGTTTGCTGGCTTCTGTCTTCCCTGCCCCACTCTCCCCTGCCAAGAAGACAGAAGGTAGAAGAATCAACAATGTTGTGCCTCTTCGCCTACTTCCCTGTTCTGTCCATATCCATCCCAGGTAATGGGAGATGCTCTAAGCAACCCACCCCCTGTCATTTATAAACCAGGGGGTGGCTCAGGTGCCTGGGCCACTGGGACAGGTACCTGAGATGACGATGCAGGTGTCTCTGGATCTGCGTTTCATTGCCTTATAGGCAGCATTGGCCACAGCATAGAGGTGAGGTGGCCGCTCATAGAGCTCCCGGCCTTGGTATCTGGCGATGGCCTCGGGTCCATATAGGGGCAGCTCCTGGTAGGGGTTCACAGAAACCAGCACTTCCCCAATGTAGGTGTAGATACGGCCTGTCTCAAATCTGGGTACAGCAGAGCAAGACCTCAGCATTCGTGTGTAAGCAGCCCCAGTCAACCAGTGCCCCTACCAAAAATGGCTTGGCACACAGAAGGGAGAAGGGAATCCGTGGTGCCATCCTGGTGAGCTGAGCCACAGCCTAGAGCGTGGGTTCTACATGCTGTCTACGGGGTACAGAGGCCCCAGCGATCACAATCCCCCATTCATGTACCCAGCAGGCTCAGGGCTAGCTCCTGTGTGGACCTTGCCGGGCAGGGTGGTTGATAGGGGATCTGAGAGAAAGGAGGAGCAGACTTGACTGTTTCCTGTGTTGGGGCCTAGGCCGGAACCTAACAGGGAAGGGGACCCGCCCTGCCCCACCCAGACATCAGGGAGGGGCAGTATGGTGCCTGTGGTCTGTTGTCATTGTATCCCCAGTCCTGGCTGACACCCCTCTTCCAATATACCTTCACATTTCTTTAACCTTCACAAACCAAGTCACCAGTTGGAGTCTGTACCTCTCTAAATCTTTCTACCCCTGGGAGAACTGGCTCCAAGAACTTGCCCCTTGGCCCCAAGAATTTGCTCCATGGCCCCAACTGCTTTTGGTGTGTAGGACCCACCCATCACCAGGCAGCTCTGTCCGGGGTTCCTCTTCCTCTGTGGCCTCACCAGGCACCTCACAAGGCTCAGCTCACACCCTTCTCCATGCTGTGTGGCTAGTGGCTAGTCAATTTCCTCTCTAGACTCAGTGTTCAAGGTGCACACAAAGCACACAGAGATCTAAGCTATGTACTGCCTCACCCTCTCCTTGGGTCAGGACCAGGCTCCTGGCCTCTATGCTTGGGGGGACTCCTGGTCTCTATGCTCTCCTGACATATAGTAGACCTCTCTAGGGGGCAGGCATGAGACCCAGCCACACACAAGGCCACCGGTGTGCCATGCCCCCTACTCCTGTGCTCTTCTGTTCTGTCCTCCTCCATACCAAATGGGCTCCTATGTCACCTACACTCTGTGTCTCATCCCTGGAGCATGATCTCAATAGGTGAGATGGTTTGGATCCCAAGTGGAACCTGCCCACTTCATGTTGGGATCCCCAAGACCCTATATAAGATTCAGAGAGAAAGAATCAGCAGGTCAGGAGTTGGAAAGGGCACAGCTCCTGTCCAATGTCTTTGCCTGTCGGTCCTAGGGGGCTCATGTGATGGCCTTGTTAAATAAGAGGTGACAGAGCACAGGAGTCATGTTAGGGAGCGAGATGGGGCAGCTGAGACCTGACGGCAGTCACTTTGTGGGCAGCCACCAGCTCTCTGGCATCTCTCTGGAACATGCTTCGAGGTTCATTTCAGCCTACCTGGCTCTGTTCCTCTCTCTGCTGATGGGGAACAAAGTGCCTCTCAGGTTACCCTCAGGTTTGTGAGGGGAGGGGGTGATTAGGAAAGAAAGGAGTCCCAAATCCCAGCCCTACATATACCTGAGCCGCAGGTTCTTCATAAAATCCTCCATGGTCACTTGATCCAAGAGCACAAAGTCAGGCTTGCCATACTCAGGACCTTCCTCGCCCTCCATCCTCAGACCAGGGTGGCCCAACCTTTCTGTACACCAGACCTTAGGGAGCGGAGCGAAGGCCAGGGGAGGCCCAGACCCCGTGCAAACTCCTCCTGCACTGCTGTGGTAAAGTAGGAAGTGGGTTCTAGCCCTAGGAGTGTGGCCCTGCCCACTTGCTGCTCCCGCCCCAGGAGTGTGAAGGGTGCTGCTTCCTGCTGCCCGAGCAGAAGAGAGATGGTGCCTAATGACCCACTCTGCTCTGGAGGGGTTCTTGTTAGTCCCCTCAGAAACCCTAGTCTACTCTTTAAGCAAAGAGAAGATTTTTTTCTGTGTGTGTGTGTGTGTGTGTATGTTCCATACAGATTTTGACAAACTCCAGAAGGTTCAGTATATAGCAGATGGTATGAGTATGTCTACAAGTAAAGTTGGTATTGTTTGTTGTAAGGTAAATTATCAGGGAGGTTGAATCTTGGAGTCTTTATTAGAGCACTAGCAGTCTGCAGGCAGCCGATTATTACAAAGGCCCTCAGCCCACAAATACACTTCATACTGTTAGGAAACAGGCCAGAGAGGAAATAAAGAACAAAAACAATACCAACAAACCAATTCAGCTTTGGTGGAGAGCTGAAGGGACACCATGGAGACAAGTGGCATAGAGTCAAAAGAGATGATTTTATAAGTTGGTTTCCAGCACTAAGTGATTTTAGTCACATGTGATATTTTTTGTGTGTTGTGCCAGTATTGGAGCTTGAACTGAGGGCCTGGGCACTGTCCCTGAGTTCTTCAGTTCAAGGTGAGTGTTCTACCACTTGAGCATAGCACCACTTCTGATTTTCTGGTGGTTAATTGAAGAGTCTCATGGACTTTCCTGCCTGGGCTGGCTTTGAGCTGCGATCCTCAGATCTCAGCCTTTTAGTAGCTAGGATTAAAGATGTGAGCCACCAGCACCTGGCTCACTTGAGCCACTCTGGCTTTTTCTGATAATTAATTGGAGATAGTCTCACAGGCTTTCCTGCCCAGGTTGGCTTTAAACAGAGGTTCTCAGATCTCAGCCTCCTGAGTAGCTAGGATTACAGGCATGAACCACTGTCATCTGGCAATTTATTGCATTCTTTAAAGGCCACAGCAAAAGCTTCGTTTCTGGGCTGGGAAGGTGGCTCAGTGGTAGAGCGCTTGCCTTGTATGCCTGAGGCCCTGGGTTCAATTCCTCAGCACCACATAAGCAAAAAGAAAAATGCCAGAAGTGGCGCTGTGGCTCAAGTAGTAGAGCGCTAGACTTGAGCTGAAGAGCTGAGGGACAGCGCCCAGGCCCAGAGTTCAGACCCCAAGACCGGACCGTCCCCCCCCAAAAAAAGCTTCCTTTCTGACCCTTCAAAGGGCGTTTCTCTTCCCAGTGGCCAGGGATGGACAGAAGTCCCTTTAGAGTGCTCTGGCAGTGCCAGCCTGCTGAGGTGAGACCCTTGTGCCTGTCCTTGGCTTTGTCCCTCAATCCAGCCTTCATGATCAGTCGATAAAAGCACACTTCCTGGAGCTCCAGGCCTCATCTCAATCTTGACAGATGTCAGGTTTATCGAGGAGATTGTAGATATAACAGGCTCATTTCCAGCAATGTTTCTGACCTCAGGGTCTGCTTCTAAGCAGTCAGTACTTCTTTCCCAGAGCTCTGAGACAGTTCCCCCTCATCTCCCTCATTTGGCAGGCTGCTAGCTGGCAGATGTCTGTATTCCTAAACTTGAGTCATTTGTGTGCCACTATTGAGATTTCTTCAATTCATAATTTGTTTAATCATTGTCTTTTAATCTTTTTTTTTTTTTTTTGTCAGTCGTGAGGCTTGAACTCTGGGCCTGGGCACTGTCCCTTAGCTCTTCAGCTCAAGGTGAGCACTCTACCACTTGAGCCACATTGCCACTTCTGGTTTACTAGTGGTTTATTGGAGATAAGAGTCTCACAGACTTTCTTGCCTGGGCTGGCTGTGAACCGCAATCCTCAGATTTCAGCCTCCTGAATAGCTAGGATTACAGGCATGAGCTATCGGCGCCTGGCTTTGTCTTTTAATCCTTAAACTTTTTTTTTTTTTTTTTTTTTGCCGGTCCTGAGACTTGAACTTGGCCTGTTGATCCCTGAGCTTCTTTCACTCAAGGTAAGTACTCTACCACTTGAGCCACAGCCCCACTTCTTGCTTTTTTGAGTAGTTCATTGGAGATAAGAGTATAACCATGGCTAGGAATGTGGCTTAGTGATAGAGGGCTTGCCTAGCATGCATGAAGCTCTGGGTTCGATTCCTCAGTACCACATAAACACAAAAATCAGGAAGTGGCATTGTGGCTCAAGTGCTAGCCTTGAGCAAAAGAAGCTCGGGGACAGTGCCAGGTCCTACAAGTCCCACGACTGGCAAAAAAAAAAAAGAATATTACCAAAACTTTTCTGCCTGGGCTAGCTTTGAACTACAATCCTCAGATCTCAGTCTCCTGGACACCAGTGGCTCATGCCTGTAATCCTAGTTACTCAGGAAGCTGAGATCTGAGGATCGTAGTTCAAAGCCGGCCCAGGCAGGAACGTTCATGAGAGTTATATCCAATAAACTACTCAGAAAACCGGAAGTGGCCCTGTGGCTCAAGTGGTAGATCATTGCCTTGAGCTGAAAAGCTTAGGGACAGCACCCAGGCCCCAAAAAAGAAGCTGAGATTTGAGGGTTGTTGGTCAAAGACAGTTGGGGCAATAAAGTCTGTGAGATGCTTGTTTTCAATTTTAAAAAAGCCCCAAATCAAAACAAAACAAAACACAGTTCTAGCCTTGAGCAAAAACGCTCAGGGTTAATACCCTGGCCCTAAGTTCAAGCCCCAGGGTCCTCTCTCCTCTCTCCCCGTCCCATGCAAGCACACACACAAAGCTGGACACTGGTGGTTCACATCTGTAATCCTAGTTACTCAGTAGACTGAGAATCATCATTTGAAGCTATCCTACGCAAAAAATCTGTGAGACTCTTATCTCAAATTAACTTAAAAAAGCCGAAAATGGAGCTGTGAGTGCTCAGGCCCTAAATTCAAGCTCTGGGACTAGCACCTGAAGAAAAGGAAAACAAAACCCAAAACGCAGTACCACCCAAAAGGCTTTTTCCTCCAAGATGCTTAAGAATAAATCCTTAAAATTTTAAACATCTCTCCATCTGACCAAACTAGGTACCATCAGCAATAAGGAACCCCCCACCTCCAAAATTCCTGAGATCCATCTGGGCCAGGCTCTTCAGTGACAATTTCAGGGTCATTTCATCATGCAAACTCTGGCAAAGGAAGCCCCTCTACACCCCCAGCTCTTCGATGGTGCTTTTGAAGGGTTTCCCAAATCTAACCTCTAGTCTGGGGGGGTTCCCACCTATAGTCTCCTTTTCTAGTTTCACTTCCCCAATGCCCAGGGACTCAAGCAAAGCACACCTCAGGTTGATACTGAGAATTTTAAAAACTGGCAGGGCCAAAAGCTGGTGGCTCAGGCCTGTAATCCTAGCTGCTCAAGAGGCTAAGATCTGAAGAACAGGGTTTCAAGCTAGCCCCAGCAGGGAAGTCCATACACCATATATGAGGCTCTTATCTCCAATTAACCACCAGAAAACCAGAAGTGGAGCTGTGGTTCAAGTGGTAGAGCACTAGCCTTGTGCAAAAGAGCTAAGGGACAGGACAGCAGCCCAGGCCAAGTTCAAGCCCCATGAGCAACAAAAAAAAAAAAAAAAAAGGAAGAAGAATTGGCAAGGAGTGAGGGAGGAGGTAACATTGTCCAAAAAGGAATGTATTAGACAATGTTGAAAATGAACTGTACAACTTGTGGGTGAGGATGGGAGGGGAAAACTGGGAGAGAGAGAGAGAAGGGATGACATTGTCCAAAAAGAAATGTACTCCTGGGCTGGGAAGGTGGCTCAGTAGAGTGCTTGTCTTGCATGCATGAGGCCCTGGGTTCGATTTTTCAGCACCACATAAGCAGAAAAAGCTGGAAGTGGCGCTGTGGCTCAAGTGGTAGAGCACTAGCCTTGAGCTGAAGAGCTGAGGGACAGCGCCCAGGCTCACAGTTCAGGCACCACGACTGACAAAATAAAACAACAACAATAAAAAGAAATGTACTCTTGGCTAGGCACTGGCCTAGCTACTCAGGAGGCTGAGATCTGAGCACTGCTGTTCAAAGCCAGCCCAGGAAGTAATGTTTGTGAGACTCTTATCTCCAATTAATCACAGAAAAAAGCCAGAAGTAGTGCCTGTGGCTCAAGTGGTAGATTGCTGGCCTTGAGCAAAAAAAGGAATTCAGGGACAGCTCACTAGCTCAGAAATCAAACCCGAGGAGTGGCAAAAAAGGAGGAAGAGGGTGGGGGGGGGAGGAATGTACCCTTAACCTGACTTATGTAACTATAACCCCGCCTCCCTTTTTAAAAATTTTTTGTTTCTGGCCTGTCCTGGGGCTTGAATTCTAAGCCTGGGAGTTGTCCCTAAGTTCCTTTTTGCTCAAGGCTAGCATTCTGCCATTTGAATTGGAGCACTACTTCCAGCTTTTTCTGTGTATGTGGTACTGAGGAATCGAACTCAAGGCTTCATGCATACTAGGCAAGCACTGTTCCACTAAGCCACCTTCCCAGTCCCTGTAACCCCATTTTACATACTTTTATAATGACAATTAAAAATTAAACTAAAAAAGTTGAAACAAACAAACAAAACAATTGGCAGTGAAGTGTTGGTGGCTTATGACTATAATCCTAACTACTCAAAAGCCTGAGATCTGAGGATGGTGGTTCAAAGACAGCCCATGCAGGAAAGTCTGTTATTTCCACTCAACTACAAAAAAGCCAGAAGATAGCTGGTGGCTCACGTCTACAATCCTAGCTACCCAGGAGGCTGAGATCTGAGGATCACAGTTCTAAGCCAGCACAGGCAGGAAAGTTCGTGAGACTCTTATCTCCAATAAACCACTAGAAAACCGGAAGTGGTGCTGTGGCTCAAGAGGTAGAGCACCCGCCTTGAGCTGAAGAGCACAGGAACAGCACCCAAGCCCAGAGTTCAAGCCCCATGACCGACAAAAAAAAAAAAAAAGCCAGAAGAGCTGGGCACCAGTGGCTCACACCTGTAATCCTAGCTACTCAGGAGCCTGAGATCTGAGGATCACGGTTCAAAGCCAGCCCGGGCAGGAAAGTCCGTGAAATTCTTATCTCCAATAAACCACCAGAAAACCAGAAGTGGCACTCTAACTCAAGTGGTACAGCATAGCCTTGAGCAGAAGAGCTGAGGGACAGCGCCCAGGCCCATAGTTCAAGCCCCACAACCGACAAAAAAAAAGCTAGAAGTGGGGCTATGGCCCAAGTGGTAGAGTACCAGCCTTGAGCAAAATAAGCTCAGGCTCAGAGTCTAGTGCCTGAGTTCAAGCCCTGGATGGACACAAAATAAAATAAAGGAGGAGGAAGAAAAATTGGTATGGGTTTCAGAAAAATCTTAGTGACATCAAAATTCCAGTTCCACAAAAATCTTCATCTGTCATGAAATAGTATTCTTTTGGGGTTTTTTTTCCCTTAACCACTTGAAAATGTCAAGACCATTTTTAGTTCAGAGATTGGCCTGTGGGTGGGCCTTCAGACACTGGTTGCTGGGCAACTCTGGGAGGGACCATAATCAAGATTGAGCCTCCTCCACCCTGAGGGTTTGCACAACCACGTGCCTTCATTGCATCATTCAATTCCCATGACCCACAAAGTTGTTTCTGCTATTCTCACATCCACTGCAGCTAGGGGCCAGGGCACAGAGATGACATCACACAAGGAAGTACCTTCCAAGACCAGACAAACCTCTGGGTCAGCCCAGCCCTGAATTCTTCCTTTCTGCTTGTTTTTTTGGGTCCCGTCATGGGGCCTGAACTCTGGGCCTGGGCGCTGTCCCTCAGCTCTTCAGCTCAAGGCTAGTGCTCTACCACTTGAGCCACAGTGCCACTTCCGGCTTTTTCCTTTTTGCTTATGTGGTGCTGAGGAATCGAACCCAGGGCCTCAGGCATGCAAGGCAAGCGCTCTACCACTGAACCACCTTCCCAGCCCCTGAATTCTTCCTTTCTTTCTCTTTTTCTTTCTTTCTTTCCTTCTTTCTTGTTCGTCATGGAGCTGGAATTCTGGGCCTGGATGCTGACCCTCAGCTCTTGAGCTCAAGGCAAGCGCTCTACCACTTGAGCCACAGCGCCACTTCCAGTTTTCTGGTGGTTTCTTTGAGATAAGAGTCTCACAGGAGCTGGGAAGGTGGCTCAGTGGTAGAGCGCTTGCCTTGTATGCATGAGGCCCTGGGTTCAATTCCTCAGTACCACATAAGCAGAAAAAGCTGGAAGTGGCATTGTGGCTCAAGTGGTAGAGCACTACTAGCCTTGAGCTAAAGAGCCGTGGGACAGTGCCCAGGCCCAAAGTTCAGGCCCTATGACTGACAAAAAAAAAAGGAAGTCTCATGGACTTTCCTGCCCAGGCTGGCTTTGAACCACGATCCTCAGATCTCAGCCTCCTGAGTAGCTAGGATTACAGGATAAACCACTGGTGCCTGGCTTTTTTTTTTCTTTTTTCCTCTGTGCTATCCCTAGGGCTTGAACTCAGGGCCGGGGCACTATACCTGAACTTCTTTTGCTCAAGGCTAGCATTCTACCATTTGAGCCATAGGTCCACTTTTGGCTTTTTGAGTAGTTTATTGGAGGTAAGAGTCTTGCAGACCTTCCTGCCTGGACTAGTTTTGAACCACAATCCTCAGATCTCAGCCTCTCAAGTAGCTAGGATTACAGGCATGAGCTACTGGCACCAAGCTCCTATTTTAAGATCAGTCTTAGAATGATCCTCAGCAAGCAGACCAATGGGTAGGCATTTACAGCTTCATTGGGCCATGCTCCTTTAGTGGGCAGACTAGCAGAACACAGGAAAGCAGAGTAGGGCCATCACCCACTCAGGCTTGGGGATTGAGAAAATCCCAACAGCACTATTATTACTTTGTGTGTGAGTGCTGCTTCTGGGACTTGAACTAAGGGTCTGGGCGCTGTCTGAGTTTTTGTGTTCAAGGCTCTACCACATGAGCCACAGCTCTTAGTTACAGCCTTTTTAGTTTATTAAATTTAAGTCTCATGAACTTTCCTGATCTGGTTGGCTTCAAACTGTGTTCCTCAGATTTCAGCCTCCAGAGTAGCTAAGATTACAGGCACGAGTCACTGGGGCCCTGCTGTTGGCAATTTTACTCTTTGGATGAGATACTGGGGGCTTGAACTCAAGGCCTTATGCTCTTGCTGGTTTTTTCATTCAAGGCTGGAATTCTACCTTTTGAACTATACCTCCACTTGCAGCTCATTAATTGGAGATGGGTCTTGTTAGCCCAATGAGCTCCTTCCCCTTTCCACAGCTTAGCATGCCCTTTTCCTAGGCCCATGTAATAAAGGCAGTAAATAATCAGCCTCCAACTCCCCTTTACCTTGAGATGGCACTCTCTGGGGCAGCTACCACCATATAAGGCAACAAAAGCCCCTTAGAGTAACCTTCGTCTGAGCAGCTACAGGACCCCTTACCTACTACTTGTGCAGCAGCCATAAATCCTAATCCACCATGATGAAAAACCTGGTCCACACCAGGATCTCCACCTTCTAGCCCCTTCTAGCCTCAGTAGGTTGTACAGGTCACCTCAGACAATAGCCAGAACTTCTCACTTCTCCCTTCTGAGTGGTCTTGTCTGATCCCTTTACTGGCAATAAACCGTTTCTTTGTTCTTTGTACCTGGATGTCTATAGTGTTTTCTGGTAGTCTAAAATACTCCTAACAGGTCTCATGGGCTGGCTAGTTTAGAATCTTTATCCTCAGATCTCAATCTCTTGATTATCTACGATTAAAGGCCTGAGCCATCAGTGCCTGGCTCACCTAGATGTTTTTTTGGGGGTCCAATCGTGGGGCCTGAACTCTAGGCCTGGGCGCTGTCCCTCAGCTCTTCAGCTCAAGGCTAGCGCTCTACCACTTAAGCCACAGTACCACTTCTAGCTTTTTTCTTTTTGCTTATGTGGTGCTGAGGAATCGAACCCAGGGCCTCAGGCACGCAAGGCAAGTGCTCTACCACTGAGCCACCTTCCCAGCCCCACACCTAGATGAGTTTTGAGGTGTCTCCTACACAGGTCCCAAATGCTGCAGCTGCCCTCAGTAGCAATGCCCAGTGCTGGTAGAGCTGCCCTTTGCAACTCCCCAACTGGACTCAATTTAGGTCTTTTTTAACCTCACTTAAGGACAAACTGAGTCAGCTGTAGGGGGAGGATTCCAACCTGCACATACAGGCTCACCACATACACAAGCACCTCCTGAACTTAGACCAGAACCTAGCTGAATGCTGTCACACCACCCCCAGTCCTGGGGAAAACATGAGCAACTGCTTGTCTCCTGGTATGAAGGAAATGCTACAATAGCTGTAGACTAGAAAACGCACTGTAACTAGTCAAGTCAGCTCCTAAGCTAGGGAAGATGTCATGATTCCTGAATCTGGTTTTAGTTTTTCAGTCTGTAAGACAAGGGACTGGCTGGAAACTGGGTTTTTCCATACACAGCCATTCATTGCACCTTCACTGGCTATATTTTTCAGGCCTTAGACTTAGCTGCTACACTTTGACAATGTTACCAAGCTGGTTGAGTGGCCTTGAGGTAAAACCTGTGGATGGACTGCTGATACTTTCTACTGAATAGGGCATAACAGGGCCATCAGAACATCCTTTCCAGGGATAGTATTGGGGGCTGAATTAGCACTTGCTAGGCCAGCATTCCCAGCCGTTTTTGCCTTTGCTGTCAATCAACAGTTCTTGGTCTCAAGTTTTTCCTTGAGATAGTCTCCCTAATGGCCACAAACTTCCAATCCTGCCTTAGCCTCCCAAGTGCTAGGATCATAGGCACATGCATTTGTGTCTGTGTATTTTGCTTCCTATCAGCATCTGAAATTGGCAAGTCACTTCATTAGCTATAAGTGCCATCTCCTTGAGGAGATGTAAGGTCTCACATTTGTGCCTGGGCAGACCTGTACTATGACTATTTACTTCTCCCATTCACTTTCTGCATAGTTGGGATGATGGCCGTGCCACCACACCCAACTTGATAACACTTTACTCAGGATGACTTTAAACACAATCCACTTGGTTCTGGGACTGAGGAACCACACAGTGGAGATTATCTGAAAGGACAGAATGTTCCATGAGCCAAAGGCAGAGAATCCCAGGATTTAGTTCCTTTGCATCCCCTATCACTTCTACTGCAGAATTCAAATGGTGGTCTTGGCTCTGTGGTGACCACCACCCAGCATTCCAAGGGACAGAGCATCTTTACCACGATACCTGGTACAGGGAAGAAGAAACAAGAGGCTGGGGCCAGTGGTATTTAAAGCTACATTTATTAAGTATCTTTTGTTTTCCATTCAGGAGATGCTGGAGGACCTGAGATACACTACCCTGGACCAAGAACATGAAACTGTTGATTCCTTCTAGAAGGCAAGCAGGCAGGGCTTGAAATCTATCTGGATAATTAAGCTGCAAATTTTGTTCCCACTTTCATTAGGTGTTCATAGCCAGGGCTCATGTCTCCATATCCATGACAAATACCAAGGCATGCTGTGAAGTGATGTCACACACAATCAGGAGCCATTACTACTGCCAATTGTTCAGAAAACTGAATCTAAGTTTCTAGCTCCAGACCACACTCCCACAGTAGTGACACCTCTGTGGCCCACTGACCTCACCCAGGTAATATCCAAACCACAAAGGCCACCCCAAATTTAGATAGCTAGGTCCCAAGAGTCTTCAACCCCCAAATAGACATGTGAGCTTAAAGACAAACTTTTTGGGTCTCAATTCCCTGCCTTTAACATGGAAGGCAAGAATAAGTTGTTTTGTTTGTTTTAAACCTTTGCTTGACCAGGTGACTCATAGGAAGTTACCATACAAAAGAGTTTTTTTTCTTTCATGCATGTGTTTCTAACACATTTATAAGATTATCTCTTTGTTGCTTTGTATGTCCCTCCCCCACAGTATAACCCCTGCTTTCACTATATTTGATGTCAGTATAACTTGTGGAGGAGATGGGGAAAAACCAGTTGTTTAAGGATACAGGTGGACCTGTTGCAACAATGAGAAGTACAAGTTGTCAGGTCCAAAACGAGCTTTACAATGTTAGTGGGGGGGGGGGAAGGGGGGGAAGGAGAAGGATTGGGATTGGGGGGGAGGGGGGAGGCTGGGAAGGGATGTGAAGGGTAAACAAAGGAGGAGGCTGCAATGCTTGGTAAGAAATGTACGCATTATCCTGCCCATGTAACTGTAACTCCTCTGTACAGTATGTTCACAAATAAAATTAAATTAAATTTAAAAAAAAAAAAAAGAGAAGCAAAGTCACTCACTAGAATGCCTTCCTTCATACTTACCCCTATACAGACCAGACTCCATAGAGTGGCCCACCAGACACTGCACAGTTGTGATGATTTGTGGGCTGCTCCACCCACCTCAGGGCTCTTCTAGCTCTGGCAAACTGGGATTACTGCTGAAACACTGAGGAAGGGATGACCGCTTTGTGTGTGCTGGTGCAATGACATACAGTAGAGGCCCTGGGAGAAGGGGGCTGTGAGGTGTGAGATGTTACTCCTTGCAGCTAACAAGGTAGCCTGCCAGTTTCATGGAGACCAGCCCAAGCTGTTAGGGAGACTGTCTTAAAAAAAAACAAAACACCTCAATTAGAGACAAAGAGCAGTTAATAAGTCATTAAAAAAAAACACAGAGAAGTTAAAAGTCCACTCAGAGGAAAAGGGCAGCCAATTCCAACTCACCAGATGGCAGTAACTCTCCACTTCTGATTTCCTGATGACAGGGCAAGGGTGTTTATCGACAACTCCTGGACTGCAGAGTCAGAGAGTTAGAACTAAGCAGACAACTTCATGTCACCGATCCCTCTCTACTCAATATCCTCCACACCAAATCAGCACATGCATGAGAGCTTCCCCATCTTCTGGATTCTACCCATCCTCCCAGATGCTACCTGTAAGACTTAGGATGTAGTCCAGAGAGGTGGTCTCAAATCTCAACCTGCTAGTTTCTAGCTGGGTAACCAGTGGCTTATCTGCACTGAATCTAAAACTGTCTAATGGTGATGCCTCAAAAATTTAACCTTAATCTAACTGGGCCCAATGTTAACCTAGCTTCTCAGGAAGTTGAGATCTGGTTTAAAGCCAGCCCGAGCAGGAAAGTCCATGAGACTGCCCCCTCCTCCACGCCTGGACACTGTCCCTGAGCTTCTTTTGATCAAGGCTAGCACTCTACCACTTGAGCCATAGTGCCACTTCCAGCTTTTTCTGTGTATGTGGCACTGTGGAATGGCTTCATGCATGCTACCACTAAGCCACCTTCCTAGACCCCCATGAGACTCTTATCTCCAAATAACAACCAAAACACTGGAAGTGGAGTTGTGGCTGAAATGCTAGGAACCTTAAAGCACAAAAGCTCAGGAACAGTGGCCAGGCCCTGAATTCAAGCCCCAGGACTGGCACAAAAGACAAAGCGAATTTCAGATGTGCAAAGTGGTGCCATTTAAAGATCAACATGATGACTGCATACCAGATCCAAAAGGGAGCAAACAATTGTCTGAAATTTCTATAACCTTGCTCTGGATGGAACAGGGCAAGGCCTCAAACCGTTTCAAAACTGTTCTGGCAAGCACTGTAGGAATGCAGGAATCACAGCAGACTCAAGCACGCTGGAGGCTTGCAACTGACATTCACTGTTTGAAGCCAGCCTAGGCAGTAGAATCCATAAAACTCTCTCCAATTAACCACCCAAAAACCAGAAATCTCTAGAGCTGTGTTCTTTGTGGAAAAAGCTATCCAGGCCCTATGTTCAAGCTCCAGTACTGGCACACAGGCAAACACAAGAACACATACATACACACTAATGGTTTTGGAGGGTTCCTAGGGCCCATGACTACACCTCAGGAAAATTGTAGTGTTCTTAAACTCATGAATTTTTTAAACTCATGATCACAGAAACAACACCACGTAATTACATAAACTTCCTTTTTTATATCCACACGTACTTTGCAGCTTGGAAAACACTTCTGAGCCAGGATATAGACCAAGACACCCCAATGGTCAAGAACCTGGCTCTAGAAAGGTGTTCCTAAACCTTCACAACGTGACTTTACCAGTCCATGTTCCGGATAATCTGCTGTGTGTCAGCCGTCCCGGTTTCGTGAAATCTTCGATCTTTTCAGAGCACCGGCCTATCGGACAAATGTAATTAGCTGCATTGATGGCTCCAAGTTACCATCCAGTTGCAGCTCCTCAACCTCCCACCCACTCCCCGCTCCAGTATGTCTTTTTTGTTTGGGTCCGGTCGTGGGCCTGAACTCTGGGCCTGGGAGCTATCCCTCAGCTCTTCAGCTCAAGGCTGGCGCTTTACCACTTGAGCCACAGCGCCACTTCCGGCTTTTTTCTTTTTACTTATGTGGTGCTGAGGAATCGAACCCAGGGCCTCAGGCATGAAAGGCAAGCGCTTTAACCACTGAGCCACCTTCTCAGCCCCTTCCAGTCTGTCTTAAGGCAGGTGTCCCACGAGGTCGCAGGTCACGCTGCACGTTTCTAGCGCTGTCTCCAAGGCTCCCACGCAGCCTGGCCTACGCCTCTTCTGAACGATCCGAGAGGCACCGCGCGCCAGCCCGTGCACAGAACTGCTAGGCCGGCACAAGGAGAAGCCCCGGGGCCCGCGCTGCCACCCTGCAGCCTGACCTTCCGCGCCACGTACCACCGACCCCCAGCCCTCACGGCCCCCACCCGAGCTCAAAAACAAGTACCGGCATCGACTGGGGTCCCCGATGGAGGCGGATGACTGCCATGCGCGACAACGAGCCCCCCCAACCTCCACTGCGAGGCCCGCCGTAGCTAGAAGCTTAGCACGCGCAGCGCGTCCTGACGTCAACACGCAGACCCGCCCATGTCGCGCGCGCACAGCGGCCGCACCTTTCCCCGCCCCCCCCCGCGATGACATCACCGGACGCTGAGGCGTGCGGGCTGCCGGGGCTGCGCGGCAATCCCGCCCTTGGCCTGTGCCTCCTCTGGAGTTCTCCCTATGCCTGCCTTCCTTCCTGAGCCCGAGGGTGGAGTTAAGTCCTCTGCCTGGGTGCTGAGGGCACACGCAGGGGTCTGCGGGGTGGGGACACGGGGGCCCCATGACCGACAAAAAAAAGTCTCACAGACTTTCCTGTCCTGGCTGGCTTTGGATCACTGTCCTCACGTTTCAGCCTCCTGAGCAGCTAGGATTAACAGGCATTAGGCATTGACTCTTCCCCCACCCCAACCCCTCCCCCATGTCGGTCATGGGCCTGAACTCTGGGCCTGGGCACTGGTCTCTCAGCTCTTCAGCTCAAGGCTAGCGCTCTACCACTTGAGCCACAGCGCCACTTCTGGCCTTTCTTATTTATGTGGTGCTGAGGAATCGAACTCAGGGCCTCATGCGTGCAAGGCAAGCACTCTACTACTGAGCCACCTTCCCAGCCCCACACAGAGAATTCTTCATGTAGTGAATTTTACAGCCACAGTCCCTAAAATAATTACGGAAGCAAGAGAAGGAAAAAAGCATTTATTAAGATGCATGTTTAATGGAACAGTGGGCGGGCAAGCACAACGGGATGTTGCTAAGCCAATATGAAGTTTGGGGCAGGTTTTTAGGGAGTTACTCTGGGTTTTATTGATTGGTTGTTCCTTCCTTAGATGATGGTTTGAATTTCTGTATGCGCAGCCCCTAAGTCCTCATGCCAGCTTTTTTCAGTGCTAGGCCCTACCTGGCTTTTAGGACTACTAGTATTTTGTTCCTTCATCCTACCTAATGTGATGAATTGTATACAATGAGTTCTTTTTTTGTCTTGTGATCCCCTAAAGTGGGTTGCAATACTCAATCTATTATAGTTATAACTAAAAATCATTTTATCAGCTGAGTGCTGGTGGCTCATGCCTGTAATCCTTGCTACACAGGAGGCTAAGATCTGAGGATCAGTTCAAAGCCAACCTGGGCAGGAAAATCTTATGAGGCTTTTTTTTTTTTATACCCCACCTTCTTAAATGGGCTATCATTTGTGTTTTGTTTTGTTTTGTTTTTTTTTTGTGGGGCTGAACTCTGGGCCTGGGTGCTGTCTCTCAGCTCTTCAGCTCAAGGCTAGGGCTCTACCACTTGAGCCAGAGTGCCACTTCCGGCTTTTTTTTTCCTTTTTGCTTATGTGGTGCTGAGGAATCCAACCCAGGGCCTCATGTATGCAAGGCAAGCGCTCTACCACTGAGCCACCTTCCCAGCCCTCTTGTGAGACTCTTATTTCTGATTAACCACCAAAAAGCCAGAACAGTTTTGTCTAACTTGGTAGAGCCTTGAGTGAAAGAGCTCAGGGACAGTGCTGTTTCCCTCCCTCCCTTCTTCTCTCTTTCTTTCTCTCTCTCTCTTACACACACACACCACAAAATAATTTTATCCTTTACTTAGATGGATAGGACTTTTGGATGAGATTTTTGGTTTGTTACTATATTTTATCACCTATGGGACAGGAAAATACAACAGAAGGCTGCAAGATTGGGAAGAACTTGGTTTGTTGGAGATATGGCTAAGACTTACAAGGTTTTAGTTCTGAATGGGGTCAGATATAAAGATTAAGAGGTAGTTAATACCTACTCAAAGGTCTTGGATATCAAACTGTAAAGGTGGCAGATTGATTCTTGATTCTACTAGAAAAGCAGATCAGTGCAATTCATGTTTTCTGTATTGCACCTAGTAAATATATTCCATTACTTTATAGTATATAAATCCCTGAAAGGGGGGAAAGACAGAATGAGAAAGAATGAGTCACAGGAAAGTAAACAGCCTCAGTTGGGGGGGTGGGCAGTGGAGCACTTTATATGCATGTATAAAATAAAACATGAATCGTGTGTGGTTTTTGTTTTGTTTCTTGTTTGGTTTGTTTTTGGTGCTGGTCCTAGGGCTTGACTTCAGGGCGTACCTGGGTGCTACCTCTGAGCTTTTTGCGCCCTCCTGTTGGAAGGTGAGGCAACAGGGAAGCCACATTGTGAGGGGCTGAGTTGGGAGTCCTTATTAAAAGGCTGCCAAGTGCATGGTGGACTCGCCTCAAAGACCAGCAGCCAGCAAATACACTTAACACAGCTACAAAATTGGCCCATGAAGGCCGAGGAGGAAAGAAAGTGTAAGAGGATCGGACACATCCATCTCAGGGGCCCACGCAGAGGCAGGCAGGCACACAAGAAAGATTATTATAAGGTTTATTAGAGGAGCCATATTTCCCCTAAGAGAGAGCACATGGCCTCAGTCACCATCCAGGTAGCAGGAGGGTCTGGGGGGGATGGGAAGTAAGGTAGGTGGGAGTTCGGGCGGAGAGAGAGGGAGGGGCCAGCTGTAAGGAGGGAACTCCAGGAATAGGAGGGTGGCCCAGGTGTGGGTGGAGCTGGGGAACAAAGGTGAGCATAATACTAACATTAAAACAAAAACAATACCAACAAACAATTCAACTCCAATGAAGAGTTGAATTGGGATACCACGAGGACCAGAGTAGAGCTTGAAGACAGGATAGGAACAGTGAGACATGGGGCTTGACTCTTCTCTGGTCACCACTGTGTCCCAATTCAACTCTCCATTGGAGCTGAATTGTTGGTATTGTTTTTGTTCTTTCTTTTCTCTTTGGCCTTCCTGCCTGAGCTGGTCCGGGCCTAAGTAGGGACAAGTTAGGGGAAGGGTCACAGGAAACTCCTAGTCCCAGGCACTGGACTGACAGGTTTAGTAACCTATCAGGTACACCTATCAATGGAGAGTGGGAGGGGCACTTCACCTTCCCCCACCAGGAAGCCAAGTTGCCAGACCTTACATGGACATATTTAGGTATCATCAAAACTTTTCCATCTAGGGAATACAGGCTTCAACCTTCCAGTAGGGTCTACCCACAGGCTGGTGATTCAAGCCATTTAGGGAGTTAATCAAGGCAGAATCAGAGCATTCTCTATATGCAAAGCTTTCCTAAGGCTATGACCTGAAGTAGACCTCTAGCTCACTTTTCAACACTGGGTAGACAATTCCCTCCACCCAGCAAGAGGCATCAGGATGGCTGCATGAAGTTAGACTTAGCTTCCCTATTTCACTACAACTTGAGCCACAGGTCTACTTCCAGCTAAATTGAAGACAAAGAGTCTCAGACTTGGGGCTGGGAAGGTGGCTCAGTGGTAGATAGCTTGCCTTGCATGCCTGAGGCCTTGGGTTCAATTCCTCAGCACCACATAAGCAAAAAGAAAAAAACCAGAAGTGACTCTGTGGCTCAAGTGGTAGAGTGCTAGCCTTGAGCTGAAGAGCTGAGGGACAGCGCCCAGGCCCAGAGTTCAGGCCCCATGACTGGACCCAAAAAAGAGTCTCAGACTTTACCACCTGAGCTGACTTTGAGCTGCAAACCTCAGATTTCAGCCTCCTAACATGAATCTGAGGTCAGCTTTGGCAGCAGAGACCCTGCTTGGAAAACAGAAAAAATCCCAGATTACTGACATGTAAACTAATGCTCACCCAAAGTGATGGTTTGCTTAAGATCTCCTAGAAATCCTAGGCACTGGTGGCTCATACCTATAATCCTTGTTATTCTTTTTTTTTTTTTTTTTTTCTGGTCATGGGGCCTGAACTCTGGGCCTGGGCGCTGTCCCTCAGCATAAGGCTAGCACTCTACCACTTGAGCCACAGAGCCACTTCCGGCTTTTTTTTTCTGCTTATGTGGTGCTGCGGAATCGAACCCAGGGCCTCATGCATGCAAGGCAAGCGTTCTACCACTGAGCCACCTTCCCAGCCCCTAATCCTTGTTATTCTGAATGCTGAGATCTAAGGATGGAGGTTAGAGGCCAGCCCAGGGAAGGAAAGTCCATAAGACTCTTTATCTCCAAGTGAAGCAAGCTGGGGGCAGTGCCTAGGGCCTGAGTTCAAGCCTCAGGGCCACTCACATGCAAAAACTGGCCTTGTGGACCCTTCAGTGCTTGAGGCAAGTCCGCTTAGTACACGGCTCTTTGCTATCAGATCAGGTGAGAGAACTCCACAGGTAAATAGTTTTGTGGAGTGTCGAGTATGTGACCAAAGAATGAAGACTTCCCACTTGAGGGAGTAAGCTCTTCTTTTCTTCTTCTTCTTTTTTTTTTTTTTGGTGCCAGTCCTGGGGCTTGTTGTACTCAGGGGGTCTGGGCACTGTCCCCAAGCTTCTTTTGCTTTTTCTGTTTATTTGGTATTGAGGAATCAAGCCCACGGCTTCACACGTGCTAGGCAAGCACTCTACCACTGACCCACAAGCCTAGTCGGAATGAGTTTTTTTTTTTTTTTGGATCTGATTGTAAGGCCTGAACTCTGGGCCTGGGCACTGTCCCTCAGCTCTTCAGCTCAAGACCAGCACTCTATCACTTGAGCCATAGCACCACTTCCGGCTTTTTTCTTTTTGCTTATGTGGTACTGAGGAATCAAACCCAGGGCCTCAGGCATGCAGGGCAAGTGCTCTACCACTGAGCCACCTTCATAGCCCTCGGAATGAGCTTTTAAGTAAACCTGTTAGCATATGCCTACGTTTGGTCCTCAGCTCCATCCATACCTGAGTTCCTCCCTGCCCTAGAATTCCAGCCCTACAGCTGGCCACTCCCTCTCTTTGCCCAGACCCTCCTGAGCACCTACCTACTTCACTTCCTGCACCCAGACCCTTCTGCTACCTGGGTAGGGACGGATACCAAGTGCTCTCTCTTTGGGGGAAATATGGCTTATCTAATAAACCTTGTAATAATCTTTCTTGTGTGCCTGCTTGCCTGTGGGTGGTCCCTTGGGAAGGATGTGAAGGATCCTTCCAAAACCAATAACCAAAAATTCACTAGAGATAGAAAGATGCTTATTATCCAGGTATTAAGAAAA